TCGTTCGTTTCCGAGTTTCGACTCCGGTTCGTCGAGGAGAATGAGCAAGATCATGCTCTCTCCAAACTGGAGACTTCCGCCTATCACATGGGTACAAAGGATGTCTACCAGTACACTGACGACTTTGAGGACCTGATGGACCTCGCCGGATTCGAAGACGCATTGGTCAAGGTGACCAAGTTCCGCCACGGACTTCATCCCTTGATCAACAACAGAATCACGTCTTCGAACGACCCCCCGGACCTCCGGGATTACCTCAGCTGGCGCACCCGGGCCTTCCGTCAATACGAGGCCCTGGTCCGGGCCAAGCTGATCAAGTCAGCCGCCCCCAAGACGCCAGGCGGTTTGATTCGGACTCCGTTTCCGGTCAACCGCATCCCGGCTCCGGCGCCTTTCCGCCCGGTGGCTCCGGTCGTGCCACCCGCGGCCCGCGCCCCCGCTCCGACGCCTCCAGCTCCCGTCCCTATGGAGTTGGATCGCACCAGGGCTCGGGGTGCCCCTCGTCGCGCCTGCTTCAGGTGTGGCGACCCAAACCATCTCGCCCGGGATTGCCCCCTCCCCGCCGATGTCCGCTCAATGGACATCCTCGACGAGGTGATCCAACAACTCGGTGACGAGATGTTAGGGGAGTTGATCGCCCGCTACACGGACACAGCTGCCCTGCCGGAGACAGCAGCGGAGTCGATGACCGGAGAGGATTTTGTCCCCCGCGACGAGTGACTGGTGTGCCCTCGTTCGCGTCCATAAATCGTTTTGCCTCCTTGTATGATGAATGCAGTTCTTTGCCCTACAACGAGCCTGAAACGAAAGACATACCCTCTCCTGCCCCCGCTTCGATTCCGTTTCCGACTCCGCCTGCGACTCCGGTCATTGTCCTTCGTCGCCTCACTGCCTGGGAAAAGAAATTGCCCAAGCAGTACACTGTCGCCGCTACCCCTGGGGCAAACTCCCTCCACCTCCCGTTGGAGCTAGAGTCCACCACTAGCGCACTGAGGCTCTCGCTCTCTGGTCTGGTTGATTGTGGTGCCACCTCCGACTTCATCGACACAAACTATGTCGCTCGGAATGGCATTCCGGTCCGCACCCTCGACCAGCCGATTCCAGTTTTCAATGTTGATGGCACTCCCAATGACGCAGGCTCCATCAAACAGATCGCGGACTTAGTCCTGCGCTACAAGGGACACGCCGAACGAGTCCAACTGGCCGTCACCCATCTTGGCAAGCAAGACCTCATCCTGGGGTATTCCTGGTTGCGGAAACACAACCCAGAGATCAATTGGGAAACCAAGGAGGTCAAGATGACACACTGCCCCCGCAACTGCTCGACGTGCTGGGAGGAAGAGCGCGTCGAACGGACTGAGCTGCGGCGACTCCGGTCGCTCCAGAAGCGTCTCCGCTCCGGCCCATTCCCCTCGGTTTGTGCCATGGACCTCTCCGGCCCCGACGACGGAGACGACTCTGTTTCCGATGGCGATTCCGGTCTGCCTGATCTGACGCCGGACTCCGACGAGGACGAGGACGATGGCCAGCTTGAAGATGGTGACCGCATCTTCTACACCTCGTTCCGCCCCTCAGAGGAGATACGTGCTGGCAGTACCGTCTCGCAGCGTCTAGCTGAAGCCTTTGCCAGGAACTCTGCCCCTCCGCCCTCTGACATCCTGGACTGGGCTAAGGAGTTCCAGGACGTCTTCAACAAGGAGTCTTTCGACACGCTACCAGAACGGAGAGCCTGGGACCACGCCATCGAACTCGTTCCCGACGCTAAGCCCACCAAGTGCAAGGTGTACCCCATCTCGCCTCTCGAGCAACGCGAACTCGACGCGTTCATCGAAGAAGGGCTGTCGATGGGCCGGATTCGCCCCTCTAAGTTTCCGATGGCGTCTCCGGTCTTCTTTGTAAAAAAGAAGGATGGCGGACTCCGCTTCGTCCAGGACTACCGGGCACTCAATGCAATGACCGTCAAAATACCCCCTTCCGTTGATCAACGACCTCATCAACCGGCTCAATGGCGCTCGTTACTTCACCAAACTCGATGTCCGTTGGGGCTTCAACAACGTCCGGATCAAGGAAGGTGACGAGTGGAAAGCGGCTTTCCGGACTAACCGAGGCTTGTTCGAGCCCTTGGTGATGTATTTCGGCCTGACGAACTCTCCCGCGACGTTCCAAACGATGATGAATGACATTTTTCAGGACCTTATCCTCTCCGGAGACGTCATGATCTACCTTGATGACATCTTAATCGCCCATTCTGACCTCCGGAAACACCGGCAGATTGTTCAGAAGGTCTTATGGCGACTCCGGGAGCACAAGTTGTACCTCCGAGCGGAGAAGTGCGACTTCAAAAAATCGTCAATCGAGTACCTCGGAGTCATCATCTCCCACAACCACGTCGAAATCGCAGGCGTCTCCGCTTGGCCGACTCCGGAGAACAAGAAGGACATTCAGCAGTTCCTTGGATTCGCTAATTTCTACCGCAGGGTCATTCAGGACTTCTCGGCCCTTGCGCGACCACTCTTCGTGCTCACCAAGAAGGACCAGCAGTGGACTTGGGGCGACGCGGAGGCCTCCGCGTTCCAAGCAATCAAGGATGCGGTCACCTCGGAACCGGTTTTGGCGATTCCGGATGATGCACGGCCTTTCCGACTCGAGGCGGACAGCTCTGATTATGCAACGGGGGCAGTTCTTTCACAATCCGCCCCGGACGGGAAGTGGCACCCTGTAGCATTCTATTCCAAAAGCTTAAATGATGTCCAGAGCAACTACAAAATCCACGACAAGGAGATGCTCGCGATCATCCGTGCACTCAAAAAATATAGACACTTCCTCGAGGGCGCCGCACATCCCATCGAGATTTGGACTGACCACAAGAATTTGGAGTACTTCAGGAAGACGCAGCACCTCAACCGGAGACAGGCCTGGTGATGCCCTCTCTCGGAGACCCGATCATGGAGTCGATTCCGACAACTCCGACGTTGTCCTTCTTCGACCCGAGCTCTTCCACGTCCGCGCACTCGAGGGCGTTTCCGTTTCCGGTCCTGGTTCCGAACTCCTTGGCGACATTCGTGACGCCCTCTCTGGCGAGCCTGACTTGGAGGAACCCGTCGTGCTAGCGGCCCGGCAACTCCTTAAGGTCCAAGGTCAAGCTCGAGGCCCCCGCTCATCACGCTCCGACGAGTGGGCCGTCTCCGGTGGCCTCCTCCACTTCCAAGGGAAAATCGTCGTACCAAAGGACAAGGACCTCCGGAGACGGATCATCGAGCTCTGCCATGACACTCGAGTCGCCGGACACGCAGGTCGCTTCAAGACCTTGGAGTTGGTCTCCCGGAACTACTGGTGGCCCCAAATGTCTCGCCATATCGGCCGGTACGTTGCAACTTGTGACTTGTGCTGTCATACCAAGGCACTCCAGAGACTGCCCCACGGAGAGCTACACCCCACGGAAACGCCTCCGGAACGCTGGCATACCGTTTCTGTCGACTTCATTGTCGAGCTCCCCGAGGCCCATGGGTACGACACGATCATGGTCGTCGTTGACACCCTCGGAAAGCGCGCCCACTTCTCGGAGTGCCATACAACGGTCGATGCAGTAGGAGCGGCCTGCCTCTACTACAGGAATGTCTGGCGGCACCACGGGACTCCGGAGAAGTACGTTTCCGACCGCGGCTCGCAGTTCATTGCGGACTTCACCCGAGAACTTTGGCGTCTAATCGGCATCAAGCCTGCCACGTCCACCACGTACCACCCGCAGACCGACGGTCAGACAGAGCGCGTCAACCAGGAGTTGGAGCAGTACCTGCGGATCTTCACCAACTATCAGCAGGACGACTGGGATGAGCTGATTCCGGCCGCGGAGTTCGCTTACAACAACCACGTTCACTCCTCCATGCAGCAAGTCCCCTTCATGACAGACACGGGACGGCTTCCGCGCATGGGCTTTGAACCCGGAGTCCGTTCCGCTATGGAGTCTGTGAACGAGTTCCGCGACCGAATGGCCACTGGGGTTGCTGAAGCCAAGGCCACGCTCACTAAGGCCAAGGAAGAGTATAAGCGCTACTACGACCGGAGACGCACTCCGTCTCCGGAGTTCAAGGTTGGCGACCGTGTTTGGCTGGATGCCTCTGACATCAGGACGACTCGCCCCTCGGAGAAGTTCTCCCACCGCCGCCTCGGACCGTTCAAGATAGTCGCGGAGGTCAGCAAAGGCACCCGTAGGTGCACTATTTAGCCTCTGCTTCCAGCAACTGCTGGAAATACCATTGCCTAAATTGCCAGCTCCCACCGGGCCAGCTGTTACTGGCAAATATAGCCTAATTTATGCTCTTGGGTGAGGCACAACACTTCGGGCGCTGACCTCGGCCATTCGGCAGCTGCCTGAATTGATGGGGGAGGTGATAACCTTGATTTCTTGACGGTATCAACAGAATCCACTGACGGCATCAAAATGCACTGATTTTACCGTTGCCGGTCTATCCTTTCACGTGTCGATGATTAGATTAACGAGACTGTACTACTAACTGATTAGATAACTCATTTTCGGGAAGTCCGTCTAGTATGCGCCGATAGACCACAGCGTCACGCCCAACAACTGCCCCAGCCACTCCCTTCCGTGACGTCCACAAGGAGAAAAAGCACTCTCCAATCTCGCGATGAAGAGCAGCCTGTCGATCTGCATACGCCTTCAATCCAGCCATCAATGCCGGCTCAACATTACTTCGCAGTTGGCCTCGCGCCTCCCACTGTACCACGGTCGCACGGATGCTACGCAGCACCTGCCTCATCTCCTCCCTCAGCAATCTCTCCTCCTCCACCCAACGATCCCTGCGAGCAAGGGCTTTGGCCCATTGCACTCGTACCGCTGTTGAGCGTCAGGACTATGTATCCATAACACAGAGAGCAAATGACGTACAGTCATGAACCCTGACTTCCTCATCCCCTCCCAAAGACTTCCAAATCCAAGAAACGCCAGCCGATTCCCCCGTCGACGTTGAAGACGGTTCATTTCAAGCAGGACGCGAAGATCCTATCCTTCCCAGCTGACGCCTCAAAGCAGCGTCGCTCTCCGTCTCCGATCTCACATTCAGATCTGAGTCCAGAAGCTCTCGGAACTCCGGGGCGCAATTCGGGCCTTCCAAACGCTTCAGAGCAATGAGAGCTTGCCGATATTTCCCCACCTCCTTGGACAGCTCGTCTGATACACGCCCAATCAGGGTGTTTGCCCGGGTAGACGCGAGCTGCCCGACTGAGAACTCGTTTCGGGAATAAACGAGATGGGTTTTCGAGTACAGAAGGCTGTGAATCTTGGTGAGAGCATCACCACACTGCGCCCGTCGGAGTTTAGCCTCGATTGTGACGACACCCTTTTTGCAGGCCCACTTTCGCTGGGACTCCGTCAAGTCCGCGGCAAACCACAGCTTCACGTCCTCTGCCTTGACTGGCGGGATGTCAGGGTCGCGGCATTCCTCCTCTCTGGCTCGCAAAACCAACACGCCAGGCATGAAGACTTCCTGATGCCGTTGGATGGTCTTCAATTTCTTGAAGAACGAAGCATGGAGCTCTTCGATTTGGTTGCTTCGGCTCGGCCGTAACGACAGTCTTGCCCTTGATTTCCGCCTTGATACGCCGCCTACTCCAAGTATTAGAAGCTATCTATCTCTGCACCAAATCATTAACGCACTTTTGGGCCTCCAACTGCATTAGGCCTTTAACGAAGGCCACCGCCGTCGTAGCTTCACCAATAAACTCCCCTCGACCTTCTCGCGCCTCTTCTACCCCTGATTTCTTGAGCTCAGCCGCAACCTCGGCTTCGGAAGGTCCCGCTACAGTTTTTAACCACAGTCAGCCGATGTAAGACCTTTTGCGCGACCTCTGACCTTCCTTGCCCCCGGCAACAACATACAGGTTGGGCTTAGAGCTATCCGCTTGCCACTCTTCCACATAGGCCTGCCATTCATCACGTAAAGCCGGCTCAAGAGTGCAGTCGATGCCCGTGAAGTCTCGAATCTGTCAGTCCTGTTCTGCGGTCGCAATTATGAGCTTGCGAGCCAAACTCTCCCCTGACATAGCGCCGTTAGCCAAGCACAAGCAGGGAAACAACTAAGCCATACCCTGCCCGACGTTCTTTTCGAAATTAAGATGGTCGACCTTGTCTTCGATGGTGTCGTGCCTGTTGCCCTCCCCCATTTCCTTTGTGGCAAAACCGATGGGATTTAGGACCACCCAAGTTCGTTCGATGCCTTCTCCATCCGTGCGACCTACTCCCGGGGCATGGCTCGACGACAGCGCCTCTCGACAGTTGATGTCGTGCGCCGCCGCATGCCAAACAGGCAGCGCAAACTGAATGGACTCGAAGTCGTCCAAGCTCTTTACGCCTCCCTCCTTCACCATATCGGCCACACGCATGAGAAGCCTCTGCTTCCATTGACAGGCGATGTCGTACGACAACACCAGTTTCCATACGCGAGTGTCTCCCAAAGCATGCATCAGAATGTAGTCCATATTGGCGTACCTGGCAGGTAGGTCAGCTCCAACGATAGAAGCTATTAACACATAACTCACCGCTCGCCTTTTTGCAAATCGCCCAAACCTTGGGCCCTAACGACCCCATGTCTACCACAAACACAGCCCCCAACGCCAGAAACACGCAGCCCGGTTGTTAGCCGCGTTTCTTTCTGCATAAGGGCAGCAAACGCAATACAGGTGCTGACCTGGAGGCATATTAGGACTATTCATCACCAAAGTTGTAGTGCTTACGTCGGTTTCGGCCACATAGTCGCGGAGATGCTCCTTGTAAGCGTCATTCTCCACGAAGTATCCCCAGCCGGACCCCAGTGATGGATCCTTTCGCTCATTGGCTCGAATACGATTTTTAAGGCGGAAGTTTGCATCAAGCGCTAGCAGTAGCGAGTAGAGAAACCTCAAACGAAAATGTTAGAGCGACAACAATCCTCAAGGGAGAGCACTCACTTATCCTCTGGCGGACACAACGCCCAATCTTCCGGCAAATTGAAGTCAGGCTCTGGGCATGCCCAACACGCAGTCGCTAGCTCCCCTGCGCCCACAGCTTCAAAAGGGTTTTTCGTGGTGGCCGATTCCTGCTCGTTTGCAGCGCTTCAGGAACCGAAATTGGCGGCTCATCGTCACCCATCCACCCATAGGTGTAAGAATTAGCCTTCTGGCTTAGATGCACCTAGGAAATGCATTGCCTAGGATACTAAATGTACCTAGCCTAGGTGTACCCAGTGGTCTAGGCTAGAATCATCTCAGGGTATCTGGATCAATATAGCATCAATGATTGAATAAATGGTTATATAATACCTATAATATTAATATTGATACATATATAATACTTTAAACTCCTTTTCTTCAGGCCGATGACCCGGTATATAGTTGGGAAGGCCTGTGTCAATAACAATCCTAATTTGGACAAAAATGATGTATTGTAATATAGCCATCAAAAGTACTGATGGCAATCAAAAATGGTTCCACATTAAAAACATTATATAAATGGGTGCACTAGCTTAGGTAATAGAATACCAGAAAAAGAGGAATAATATATATTCCTATTAAAATAATGCTTTGGCCTAGGGAGACTTACTAGGCTAAAGCTCTAGGTGTACATAGTCTCTGGCTGTACCTAGTATTCTAGGCAATGCATTTCCTAGGTGCATCTACTGGAATTAGGCTAAATACTACCACTACGGCTCCCCTCTCTCATCGTATTGAATGCTTTGTATCGCTCCTGCCGGGCTAGTCAGCACCAATGTTCTCAAGCATCGTCCCAATGAACGTACCGGGGTATCTCCTAACCGTGTAGCATCCGTTCTCCTCTCTAATGTCCCCACGAAGTCGTGCACACTGATGTTCCCAACGACATTGAGGTCTCGAAAGAGGTCGAGGGCTTCGAAAGTAGCGTGTCAGGAACGGGGCCGGCCCGGGCCCACGTGACGGTCTCCTGCCAGTCTGACAAGTGTGGGAAAGATGGTTCAACCCCCATAGCTGGGTGGTCGGCAACCAGGCAGCGTAGATGGTGCCACTGCTGCAATAGAGAGCAGGGTAGGGACAACTCGGGGCGACTCGAGACGCCCCGCTGTCACGTTGTGTGACAGCGGTGTCACAGGATACGAGTAGTCGTCTAGAGTTTCCTACCCCTGCTGAAGGGAACGAGTCCATAGCCAAAGAGTGCTGCCTAGTAGAGTTGGTGCCCAAGACATAGGGCAAGGCATAGGCTGGGCCAGTTGAACAAGCCGTTCGGGCGGGGCGTGACGTAACGCGGTCACGCCCGACGGTTCGGGGGGTCGAGGGGAGTCGCCACGCAACAGGGGCTGCGGGCCCGAGACCCCTGGAGCGCTTGAGAAGGGTTGCCAGTCCAAGGGGCGACATATCTCCTTTCCTGGAGCAACGAGTCGCTGTGGCTCCTAGACACCGCGTGGCGGCGCGGTGTGACGCGTGACATGCGGGCCCGATCGGGCCCGCACCCTCCCATCGCCCCGTACCAGGGGAACCCAGAGCTTGAGGCCAGAGAGCAGGAAGAAGTGGCTAGGACAAGGGTGAACATAAGAGACAAGAGCCTGAGCTGTCCAGCCCAACCAAGGGCTCAGGTCAATGAGGCAAGCTAGCCTGGAGTGTTGGAAGTCGTCTAGACGCCCCTTTCCTGGGGTATGGTCGCAGCAACCCCGCTCTAGGGGACCAGGCCGGAGTAGGGTTCAAAGGAAGAGACTTCAATGCTAAACCTAAGGTACAGGAGTAATACTCTAGTCTTTATATACTGTGGGCGCTAGGGGCCGATCGGGCCCGCTGAGGGTCGATCAGAAGGGAGCAGGGGATGTCTCTGGTCGTCCCTGGTCGCTCCGCTAGGAGCCCAGGGACCATTCCTCTGGAAAGGAGCCATGCCAAAGTCGACACTAAGGAGTGTTTGGCAATGCAACAGTAAGGAGCTCCCTCCTGGACCCTGTGGTTGTCTAGGGCCGATTGGGCCCGCTGTCAAGGGCGTCCGGCGGCGCATCATGATCCCTGATGGCGGGTCATGATGGCTTGATGGCTGACTAAAGCGCGATCCGTGATTATGTCCCTTCTCTGGGATATTAGTGTTGTTGCTCATTGCTTTGAGCTTGTGAATTATGAGGGCTTGTCAAGCCCTAGGGCTCTAAGGGTGGTGAGGGCCCGATGGGCCGTATAGGGCCCGTTGGCCCGACCCGAACCCTGACATCACCCCCCCACTAGGCGAAACTCGTCCCGAGTTTTATCGTCCGATTTCCGTATTCAATTCCGATTTGTTGAGAAAAAAATTTCGTCATTCGCATGTAGATGCCTTCTCGTCGAAGGGCTTAGTCGATTCCTCTCTCGCGTCCAGGCCCCAGTCGCGTCCTCCCAAAGGATGATCAGACATCCTGACGCTCTCCTGGGTCTCCCCCGTTCCCCGTTCCTGGCCGAAGCGGAGGTGGTCGTACACCCCATCCGGTCCAGGCGCTGCGCCTAACCTCCCAGCACTCCTCCCCATCGCCTGTTGCCCCAGGCGCGCCTTTGCAAGGGATGATCGGACATCCAGACGCTTCTGAGTCTCCCCCATTTCTCCCGTTCCTAGCCGCAGAGGGGACGATCGGACATCCCTTGCGGGCCAGGCGCTACTCCTAACCTCCTAGCACTCCTCCCCTATCGCCTTGTGTCGAGTTGGGCTCGGCGACGGCTCGACGCGTCGTTCTCGGTCACGTGCTTCCCACGTGTGCGTTCCTCCCACTGGGGCGCATGTTCCCTGTCATCACGTGCTGCGTGCTACGGGCCCGCGATGGCCCGACACCAGCGCCGGAGCGGACGGGCCGGGTCTTATCCGTGACATCGCCCCCTCCCTTGGAACGACTCATCTCGAGTCGGCGTGGCTTGGTCGCCCCGGTTTCTCGGGGTGTTTGGTTTGTTCACATTTTCCGAACACTGGCTTCCAATTACATGCTGAGCATTGGCTGCGCGTTTTTAGACCTTTCGTAGCTTCTCCTGTTTGCGTAGTTTCAGCCCGGTCCGGTCCAGTGCGTCCGCGCATATGCAATGTTCAATCTCGTTGCCAGTCGAAGCCCAGAGGCGATGGGGTCGCTATGACGACACCTAGCCATCCCTCTGTCCAGCCTCCAATTTTGGGGTGTTATTGTCTCCGGTTTTCGCCGCCATTGTGCAGCTACACCCCGTTCCAGGGGTCATCGTTGTTTTTTCGTATATGCAGATTTGGCCCGTCAGTTCGTCGGGGCCCGTCAGGCCGGTCGGGCCGATGTGGGCGAATCGGGCCGATTCAGGTCATCGATCCCATCATCTTAGTCGTATGAGGGTTTGAACATCAATTCGCATGGTTTTGGGTTTGTCTGGTTGAAGGCCAGCACCTTTGAACGAAATTTCCCACGGTTGGGAAAGGGGTGACGTTTCGGGCGCACGGGACGGGTCTCTTGCTAGTGAAAAGAGCCTGGGTCTGCTTCTTCCCCCAGCGCTCCCAGAGTGGTTTTCCACTCTCCTTGGCTGCTATAGAGGTGGGGACGGACTCAACGTTTCCCGTGCCTCAAGCGCCGTTCACCGGAGTGGACGCCCCATGGCAGACAGAAGTTGCGGCCCAGAAGTCGACATCTGGGGAGCCGATATTCCTTACCTCGGCGCCAGGGTACGAGAATTCGAAAGAAGAGGGTATAGGGAAAGAATTTGCCGAGTAGGGGCGAAAGAAACAAAGGTTTGTGTTCGGACCAACGGGTTATCGGGCCCGTAGATTGACAGGCCAGACTTCGAGTCGGGCCGCACAAGGTCTCCTAAGAACGCACACCAAGAACAAAACAGACGGATTGTCGGGCCCGCGAGTATGGCGGCGGGGTAGATTTGAACCGAAAGGGCCCGTTAATTCGGTCCCTTGTCGTTGTCGGTGATCGAAGGTTCGAATCGGGTCGTTTCGTCTTGTCGTTAGGCGCAGAAGGTATGGAAGAACTCCTTAACCGGAGTGGACAAGTGGAGCAGGTTTTGACCTGTTCCCAGGAGTTTTAACGCGAAGGGGCGGACTCCTCAACCCATAGGACGAATGGAGCAAGACTTGTTGGCTCCCAGGAGTTTCAAGACAAAAGGGATGACTCCTCAACCCATTGGACGAAGTGCCGACACATAGAGTGGTCGTTCAGCACAGAAAGGATGCTCCAAGAACTTGAGCTTTCCAGAGAGCGCCCCACACTTGAAAGAAGGACAGTAAAGGAGGTTTAGCATTCTGTCAGGAACGGGGCCGGCCCGGGCCCACGTGACGGTCTCCTGCCAGTCTGACAAGTGTGGGAAAGATGGTTCAACCCCCATAGCTGGGTGGTCGGCAACCAGGCAGCGTAGATGGTGCCACTGCTGCAATAGAGAGCAGGGTAGGGACAACTCGGGGCGACTCGAGACGCCCCGCTGTCACGTTGTGTGACAGCGGTGTCACAGGATACGAGTAGTCGTCTAGAGTTTCCTACCCCTGCTGAAGGGAACGAGTCCATAGCCAAAGAGTGCTGCCTAGTAGAGTTGGTGCCCAAGACATAGGGCAAGGCATAGGCTGGGCCAGTTGAACAAGCCGTTCGGGCGGGGCGTGACGTAACGCGGTCACGCCCGACGGTTCGGGGGTCGAGGGGGAGTCGCCACGCAACAGGGGCTGCGGGCCCGAGACCCCTGGAGCGCTTGAGAAGGGTTGCCAGTCCAAGGGGCGACATATCTCCTTTCCTGGAGCAACGAGTCGCTGTGGCTCCTAGACACCGCGTGGCGGCGCGGTGTGACGCGTGACATGCGGGCCCGATCGGGCCCGCACCCTCCCATCGCCCCGTACCAGGGGAACCCAGAGCTTGAGGCCAGAGAGCAGGAAGAAGTGGCTAGGACAAGGGTGAACATAAGAGACAAGAGCCTGAGCTGTCCAGCCCAACCAAGGGCTCAGGTCAATGAGGCAAGCTAGCCTGGAGTGTTGGAAGTCGTCTAGACGCCCCTTTCCTGGGGTATGGTCGCAGCAACCCCGCTCTAGGGGACCAGGCCGGAGTAGGGTTCAAAGGAAGAGACTTCAATGCTAAACCTAAGGTACAGGAGTAATACTCTAGTCTTTATATACTGTGGGCGCTAGGGGCCGATCGGGCCCGCTGAGGGTCGATCAGAAGGGAGCAGGGGATGTCTCTGGTCGTCCCTGGTCGCTCCGCTAGGAGCCCAGGGACCATTCCTCTGGAAAGGAGCCATGCCAAAGTCGACACTAAGGAGTGTTTGGCAATGCAACAGTAAGGAGCTCCCTCCTGGACCCTGTGGTTGTCTAGGGCCGATTGGGCCCGCTGTCAAGGGCGTCCGGCGGCGCATCATGATCCCTGATGGCGGGTCATGATGGCTTGATGGCTGACTAAAGCGCGATCCGTGATTATGTCCCTTCTCTGGGATATTAGTGTTGTTGCTCATTGCTTTGAGCTTGTGAATTATGAGGGCTTGTCAAGCCCTAGGGCTCTAAGGGTGGTGAGGGCCCGATGGGCCGTATAGGGCCCGTTGGCCCGACCCGAACCCTGACATAGCGCAGGTCGAAGGATCGATGGTTGTTGCTGGATACCAGCTTTCCTTCATCAACTGCGCAATGAGCCCAGCGCGCAAGCTCTTGCTACAGTCGCAAAACTGCACATTCAGGGTGAATATGCCCCGAATGTCTATAACAACCAGGATTCTAGCAGGCGTCGGTCGATCGCAGCGTTGGCCATGATGTCCGAGCTGGTATGTGAGATTGAGGCTGCAGGGGGAGTCGTCGTGAATGCTGACACGATGCAGGGCAACTCGGGTAAAGAAAGCTCCCGTCCACTCCTGAGCGCTAATTAGTCATTGCATATCAGTCAGCAGACAAAAACACACCGATACGACATGGAGAGGGTTCCGCTCATGTCGTGACCGCAAGCAACTTTCACACTGCAGCAAGGTACCACATTGCGCACAGCGAAACAGGCATTGTTTCTCTATCTTGTCTGCACAGCAACTGCACATGCGATCCTCGAGAAAATCACCGAGACCCTCTGATTGGAGTAAGCCGTCCAAGAAATCGGCCTTGACATCTCGCCACAAAGCCATCGGATCATCCTTCTGTATCAACAATAGTCAGCAATGTGTTCCGGAACCGCAGAACAAGAAAACCTCACCGAGCTCACATAGCGCATCCTCCTGCTCTCTTCCGGCGCTGGTAT